GGAGTCAAAAGTAAAAAAAATTATATTGTATTATATTATATTATTTTTATATTAATTTAAACAATTATTATCAAACAATTATATTCATTTAGTAACATAAATATATCTTAGTGTAGGCTATATCTTTATAGAGTTTTATAATTCATTATCTTCTTGTCGATCCACCAGTTCACATTTACAACTGCGTGTTTTCTGCGTAAAAATAAGGGTCGTTTCTTTGGCTTTGGTCTAAAGTTTAGACTAAACAAAGAGCAGAATGGCTTATTGAAAAATGAAAATTCTTTCTCTGCCAGCAGGTGGCGCTTATCGCCAGGAATATAGCCGTTTCCCCCGTAACCGCAGTAAACAAAGCACCTGACTTTGAAACCTGCAGCGCTCATATTTAATCAATTAAATAGCCTTTTGACGTGTAAGCGATATCTCATTTACATGTATATTTAGTTTTTTTCACTGGAGCACCACCTGATCTCCCATTGTTTCCTACCTGCACACATATCAATAGCATCGCTGGGCTGTAGGTTGCCAAGTTGAGGGGACAAATGGGTTGAAATTGGTATGCGTCGATCGTGTGAGAAAGATGCGTTTCATACAAGTTCTGGCAACTGGACAACCTTGGAATTTGTTGTGATTATTCATATAAGGAGGTTTGGGGAGTTACTTACGGGAGTTTTACCAGAAGCGAATGTAGCAAACATATAAAATACACCCAGTGGGATATTTTTTATAGAAAGATTAAAAATACGGGAGAAATACGGGAAAATATTTAAACGGGATGATAGCGGGATGGAATGGTAAAATATGGGAGAATCCCGGGAAAAACGGGAGGGTTGTATGGGTATTTCACATAAATCAACATAGCCTACACAATAAGCAGACCACACAATAAGAACGTTTAGCCTTTATCTTTCGACAATAATTTTAAGCATTGATGTGGTGATGTTAGTCATCCCACCTGCTGGGAGCTTCACGTTTCTCGGCTGTGACATTTCCTGGGGTTTTTACCAGGTATTTTTTTTACCATCTCTGAGTATCAACAGCTCCTTTGAATCACATTCAGCCACTATTACCCACCCTCTTAAAATCCATTTTATAGTTGCTTATCGACCCCCAGGACCACTAGGTAACTTCGTGGAAGAATTAGATGTGCTGCTCTCAAACTTTCCTGAGGATGGTACTCCCCTAGTTATGCTTGGAGACTTCAACATCCACCTAAATAAACCTCAGGCTGCAGACTTCCACACTCTGCTTGCCTCTTTTGATCTAGCAATGCGAAAACTGCTGATAATACTGAGGGACCTTATATATGAATGCTTAGATAGGTTATTTACACACAACACTGCTCCACTGATCATGTACTGGTTACTCCACTGCACACCTCGGATCACTTCCTCCTCACTCTTAACCTCAACATGGTTCCTGACACAACACATACCCCTACACATGTCACTTTTCGACGTAAACTACGCTCTCTCTCACCCTCCCGGCTATCTGCTATGGTTCCATCTTTGCTTCCTTCCCCTGAACAGTTATCATCTCTTGATGTTAACAGTGCTACTGATACTTTCTGCTCCACTCTTACGTCTTGTTTAGACACTATCTGCCCCTTGTCGTCCAGGCCAGCTCGTACCATCTCTTCTGCCCCTTGGCTATCTGATGTTCTCCGTGAGCATCGCTCTAAGCTCAGAGCTGCAGAAAGAGTATGGCGCAAATCACAAAATCCTACTGACCTTAATGTATATCGATCACTCCTCTCTTCATTCTCTGCTAATATCTCCACTGCTAAAAGGACGTACTATCACAACAAAATTAACAATTCGCCTAACTCTCGCATGCTCTTTAAAACATTTTCCTCCCTCCTTTGTCCTCCTCCTCCCCCTCCTTCATCAACTCTAACAGCTGACGACTTTGCCACATTCTTCATTAATAAAATTACAAACCTCAGTGCACAATTTGCCACACCACAAACGGTCAAACACATCTTACCAGCAAACATACAATCGTTTTCATCCTTCTCTCCACTCTCGGAGGCAGAAGTCTCTCAACTCATCCTTTCCAACCATCCTACTACTTGTCCACTCGATCCTTTTCCATCTCATCTCCTTCAAGCCATTTCTCCTGCCGTTGTACCTGCACTCACTCACATCGTTAACACATCCCTTCACACTGGTGTTTTTCCCTCAACATTTAAACAGGCTCGTATAACCCCACTTCTTAAGAAACCCACTCTTAACCCAACTCTTTTAGAGAACTACAGACCAGTTTCCCTTCTACCTTTCATTGCAAAAACACTTGAACGAGTTGTGTTCAACCAAGTCTCAGCCTTTCTCACACAGAACAACCTCCTGGACAGCAACCAATCTGGCTTCAGAAGTGGACATTCGACCGAGACTGCCTTGCTTTCAGTTGTTGAAGCCCTAAGACTGGCAAGAGCAGCTTCCAAATCTTCTATACTTATTTGGCTGGATCTGTCTGCTGCTTTTGATACGGTGAACCACCAGATTCTCCTGTCAACCCTATTGGAAAATGGCATCTCAGGAACCGCACGCCAGTGGTTTGAGTCTTACCTCTCAGATAGGTCCTTCAAGGTATCTTGGAGAGGTGAGGTGTCCAAGTCGCAACATCTAGCTACTGGGGTGCCTCAGGGCTCAGTACTTGGACCACTTCTCTTCTCTGTCTACATGGCATCACTAGGTTCTGTCATTCAGAAACATGGCTTTTCATATCACTGCTATGCTGATGACACTCAACTCTACCTCTCATTCCATCCTGATGATCCGACGATAGCTGCTCGCATCTCAGCATGTCTAACAGACATTTCTTGTTGGATGACGGACCATCACCTTCAACTCAACCTGGCTAAGACAGAACTGCTTGTGGTTTCAACAAACCCATCACTTTATCAAAATTTCACCATCCAGTTAGGCTCATCAACCATAACTCCTTCAAAAACAGCTAGAAACCTTGGAGTTGTGATTGATGATAAGCTGAATTTCTCAGACCACATTGCTAAAACTGCCGTGTGTGAGTGAGTAAGTGAGAGAGTGTGTGTGTGAGTGAGAGAGTGAGTGTGTGTGAAAGTGTGTGTGTGTGTGAGTGAGTGAGTGAGTGAGTGAGTGAGTGAGTGAGTGAGTGAGTGAGTGAGTGAGTGAGTGAGTGAGTGAGTGAGTGTGTGTGAAGGTGTATATATATATATTTATATACACCTTGCTACGTGTACTGCGTTAGGCTAATCGAGACTTGTCATTTGCACTTATATATTGTTGCTCTTTTGTTAGTTTTGACTGCTTTTATTGTCCTCATTTGTAAGTCGCTTTGGATAAAAGCGTCTGCTAAATGACTAAATGTAAATGTAAATGTTTTCATGCTGTATAAAGAGTGGACAGTTGATTTGTATAGGAGGCTTCTGTAAACGTGTCTGTAAGGCAAACCAGTTTTGCACCTGTTGCCTTTTGTTTGATATGTGTATGAATAAACACATTCAGAGATTTTTAAATGCATAATTTATGCTAAATTCTATTAAGTCAAGTGGGATAAAACAATAGCGAGTATTTATCACAAAGAAAACTAATAGCCTAGTGAATTAAATTATTAAGACTATTCTATTTTGGAATATTTACCTCAGATGAATGTCGCCTTTTCTTCTGGTACACGGAGGAAATTCAAAGAGGACAAAGCACTGTCCAACTTCGCCAGAAAAATGACAAGTTATAGTTTTACTTTCGAATTCGCGCGTTAAAGTAACGACGGAAACTGTCAAGTGGACAGAACTTTTGCAGAACATAATTCAAAATTGATCATTTTATTTCACATTTTATTAGGATGATATCATTCATTTGAAAAAACTAAACAGGGTTTATTAATTGTAGCCTACTAGGCTACGAAAATAATAAAATAGGCTAATTTGTCAAAGAAGTAGACTAACAATCATAAGTCATAAGTCTTAAAACCAAAGATTATTTTCTTTATAGATAAAATTCCTGAGATGGGTTTCAAAGACTGCTCTGATTATCCCCGATGTGAGGTGACAGATCAGTGACCATTATATCCCACAGATCCCACACTCATAATCGGCCTATACATTGGCTAGCTAACAACAAATTGATTCATTAGTCAATGAATGTAGAAGTGTCTCTGTGTTTAAAATGTTGTCATGTCGACGAGATCCTGGACTTCATTCCAGCAGGGACTCGGTTCTTCTTAGCATGTTTGGAAACCTCCGGGTAGACGTAAGACCATGAAGAGAGTGGAGCGATCCTTGATTTGGTGGTCTAAAAACGTATCATTGTCTTCTAGTTGTTTATCTGTGTACAGCAGCCTCAGGGACGATGGATCACCCCCTATGGTAAGATTTAAGAAGCAACATTCGAACATAATTTATTACTAGGCTATTAATAATTAATTATTAACAAATAATTAATATTATTAGATTATTAGAAAAAATAAGATACATTTCCTTAGTCTCCGTTCTCCACAAATGCTTAAAATTAGGCTATAACTATTTTTAACGATGGTGGGTTCACCATGGTTACAAACGTGACCGGAAATAAAACATAAACTTTTTAAGAATAATGTATACTATAGGCTATTTAATTAGACTATGACCAAATTGATTAACATATTTTAGCATTTGATATTACCTGCTTGCCCGGGCAATTTTTCTGCAACTTTCTTTTTGAATTGCAAAATTGTCGTTTTGTTGAATTCTTCCTCTGATGTCGCAACATCGACCGTTTTCTTCTCCCCCTTTATTCCAACCACTATGATCTGGTAAATCTTTCCCATTTTAGGAGAACACCTAAACAAGTTATTACAAAACTCCGTATGAACCGCGGACGTTTCACTTTCTGTTTTATATGCTTGAGTGTTGACGCCCTAGCCTAGGCTATTTGATAAAAACATAAATAGGGTCATATTCGCCTATGTCTTTGCTCTTTAGATAATAACAATAATAAAAAAAAAATCAAACTATCTACTTTTATCTAACCTCAGCCCCTCAGCCGAGAAGCCATGTGACAAACTGGAAAGAGAACAAAACACTGTCAACATATAACCTAGGTTTCATTTCTAAACCACCTGCTGGAGAAACATGACGGAACAACAGCGGGAAGAAAAACGCTATGATCCCAACGACAAAACACTTAAGTTTGTAACGCGCCAGGATGACATAAGTATGTATATAGCCTTACATTTATGTAAACTCACGTTAGATGGTGTCGGTAGGGTTTCTTTTTTGATTTCCCGTTGAAAAAACCAGCATATGCTGGTTAGGTATGTTTTGAAGCTGGGATGCTGATTTGAGCATAAACCAGCAAAGGACCAGCTCAAACCAGCATCCCAGCTTCAAAACATACCTAACCAGCATATGCTGGTTTTACAGGCAGAGAGAAACCAAAAACAAGTGCGCTGTGTCTAGGTAACGTTAATTGCATACTATACGCGTATAAAATGAGTAGGCTAACAAAAATTACTGAGCGCACTTTATCTACGGTAGGCTAGCTAAATCTAAGAGCGATCTAATATCCTATTAAATATAGCTAATTTTGAAGGCAATGATTAGGCTAATTACTGAATATTGAGTTATGCTACTTTATTTTTTATTGTTTTAATGAGCCTATAAACAGCAGGCAGTAGGCTAAATGTTTCGACAGTATTTTGTCACGACCTCATTATGCTGTTTAATTCGGGCAGTGGCATCCAGTCATCATCTTAAAAGCTGTTTTTACTCAAATTTTGTGAAACAAATAATTAAAAATTAAATGAGTCGATAAATTAAAAAAAGAGTGATATTATTTCCAGTTCATTCATCACACTTGAAATGGTGACGTCGAGTTCATTGCACAAAGGAGCAATGACCAAACATTTGGGTAAACTGATTATCTAGGTATTGCGTATAGAAACTTTGTATTTTTATGAATTCCAGTGATTGTATGCTATGATGAGTCATTAGTCCTGAATTTCCATGTGATCATTTAAGCGGTTACTCTGCATCCTTAGAATGTTGCATTAAATTAAATTATTATTAATATTTGTCTTCAACCTTAAGACACCAGTTAACTAATATACTTTCAGCTGGGGATGATGACCCTGAGACTCGTCGTGCTGAGATGTCATGTGGCCATGCAGTGACTCCACAGTCACTGACTGCGTGGTGTCGTAGTCTACTGGACCAGGTAATACATTTATTCAAACTAAAGAATCAGTTCTTGTTAACAGGCACATACAGTAAACTAAAAGTATGTCATATTCTCAGGGTCAGCACAAGTTCCTATGCCCTGCACTTAAAGAAGGCACACTACAAAGATGCAATGCAGAATGGCCCTATGTGGAAATGCGGAGGTTGGCTGTACTGACTCAAGAGGAGCAGAGCCATTTTGAAGAGACGATGGCTGTCCTTGCTGCAGCAGAGTACTGCGAACACAAAACAGTGAGTTGCTGGCATAAATCACAACATATATCCAAGGATAATTGCATTCTTGAATAGACTCATAAAAGCTAGCACTGAAGTTAACTTTATCTTCAGTGTCCTGGATGTCAGACATTCGTCGAGAGAGCCGACATTACCAACCTCTGTGTCATGTGCACAATCTGCACGGCTGAGAAGGGTCGGACATTTCATTTCTGCTGGCAGTGTATGAGACAGTGGAAAGGCCCAGGCCCTCGATCTGACCGCTGTAACAATCCCGGCTGCACTAATCCCGACATTGAAAAGTTGGCAAAATGTTGTTATACAACGCTACCTGAAGTCAATAATGTGAGCTGTCCCTCAATGCGAGCTTGCCCTACTTGTGGCATCCTTGTGGAGCATGACACAACAGGGTGTAAGAATGTCATATGTAATCGCTGCAGGGTAGAATTCTGCTTTGTTTGCCTGAAAGTCACTCAAGTATGCTTGCAAACAAGCAGTTACTTCATTGCCTGTTCAGATGGGGTCGCGCCACGGCAGACTTCCATTCCTTCCTGGAACAGAAACTGAAAACCATTGAAGAAGCCAAACAAAATGATGTAAACGTGACATGATAAAATGTGTAGCTTGAATGCAATGCAAGTTGCTTTGGATTAAAATCTGTGCCAAATGCATAAATGCCATGTAGTAAACTATATTTAAATGTGTTTATTCCTTTTGTGTGTGATAAAAAAATCATCCACAGTATATAAGGCGAAGGCTTTCTGTCTGTGCCAAATGCATAAATGCCATGTAGTAAACTATATTTAAATGTGTTTATTCCTTTTGTGTGTGATAAAAAAGCATCCACAGTATATAAGGTGAAGGCTTTCTGCCCATTGTTCTTATATTGACTGTTTTATTCTTTCAATAGAATGGCATGTTCTTAACAATTTAACTATTTGCTTGCTATCACGCAGAGGCATAAACGAGAGTGAATTTGAAGATGTTTTCATATTTTAGAATGGTCACATGGCCTCTTAAATTTTCTTCTGCCTTTCCAGGTGTGGCATAAATTGCTCTAACATACAACAATAAAATCAGTTAGCTGACAAATATTGTGCCATGGTATATTTAATCAGTACTAAAAACAAAAATAGGAAAAAATGATAGAAAATGTAAACAACTGTTGCTTCCCAAGTATGTAAACAAAAAACAGGAAGACATTTCTCAGTTCAAGTATAGCCATGTGACAAAGGTCAAATTTGAAATGGAATTTCCCTTAAAGTCTATAAGGTTTTGGCAATTGTAAAGTGAAAGTCAGCACACATCAGGTATGATGCCAAATTCAACATTATGACAGATGTGATGATAGGCAGGCTTAATAAATAAAGGGATTAGAGCTGTCACAGTTTTGGTTTCTGTTACACTGAAACCAAAAATCTTTGCCGTTTATCGGAGAACTGTGCCATTGGAAGATGAAGACATTCCTTTATTATTCTCCAGAATTTTCCTTTTAATAAGCCAGTGACTCAAATGTTAGACAGCTAAACAATAATTTTTTGACAAATGTTAAATGGATTATCCCTTAAAGCCCAAAACATTTATGCAAATATGAACAGATCAGATGCGGTTTCAGCAAAACTTAATGAAAAATACGAAGCAGTTAAATAATGCAATAATTGGCATGCAAAAGCTGAAATATAAATACTGATACAAACGGGTCATTCTGTGCATGGTAATCTAATAACAAACAATGTGTTTTGCTCCTAATATGGTTCATTTTATACTGAAATCTTCAATCACAGAGGAATGACCGCAGGCCTTCTTAACCTCTTCGAAACCATTTTTTTTTTTTTAAGAAATCGCATTAACTGCTAGCTAACAGCAGTACATCATTTGAGAAAAGAGTGCTTGGACATACTGTGTTAGGACTATGAAGTACAGACTAATAAAGAAAGACTAACAATGCCCTCTAGTGTGTAAGTATGCAAGTAACCCTTAAAAGGTTGTTGTCAGCTACATATTAAGCATCTAATCTGTAACAGTAAAACAAAACGTACATTAGGTTTGCAAACAAGGAACATAAATCTTTATAATTCCTACCATGATTGTGGGCAGAGAAGAAATCGCATGAAATAGTTGACCCCAAAATGAAATGTCATTTACTTATCCTAACGTGGTTGATGGGAACTGGGGCTGTTTAAAGCTTAAAAAAAAAACATGAACACATACAATTACATCCTATAACACGTGTGCACGTAACGCAATATTGTAATGCATTACTTTTAAAAGTAACTTTCCCCAACACTGTCTGTACCTTCCTAAAGACCTTTCAGTTTCCTTCTACTTTGTAATCACCCCTTTTTGAAATCACACAAAAGAGGACAATATCTGCTTCGTCATGCCTGGAGCTGATCCGTGCTGGTTGCTGAGGAAATACTTCAACTTTGCGCTGTCGATCGCCGGATCGGCTTTCACCGTGGACGAAGCGGATTTTCACCTTAAAACTGTAGTTTCCCAAAGGCTGACCCAGAAATACCATTTGAAACAGCCCTCGGTTTGCTACGTCACAAACCAATAACCAATCACGTCAAGGGATCGATTCCTATCACTAGCATGCAAAATATACCAATACGGGACTAATTTGCATATTCATAGATCAGCGTATAGTAAATGAGGCAAGGGTGTAGAGTTGCATTCAAGCTATTTTAAGGAATGAGAAAATTATTTTCACAAGAAAAAACATTTAAATATGTAATTTTGATGATCAAAGATAAGTTTTAAGGGAAAAAATATTTGACTACAGGGGGACTTTAATACTAGTGAAACCGATCTCAAAAACTTTAAAACATCATCACAAGCCAGTATTCCTGTAATCATTCCAAAAATGTTTTTCATTATAGAGTAGACATTACAATGTCTTAGACATTTCAAAACTTAAAGATGTTCTACAACGCCGTTTGCACCGCACTCTTCCATCACTTGATCTTTTTAATTTGGTGCGTCAATCTGTTGAGTAACTTAGTATAGGAGATCATGATCTGCACTCACGAGAACATTCTTCTTTTTTAAATTAAGAATAAAGTAAGAAGACTGTTCTCGTGAGTGCGGATCATGATCTCCTATACTAAAACTTAAAGATGCACATAGAGACATGTCTGATTATATGTTACCTTTATTTAGCAGAGCCAATGCATTTCATTCTAAACAAGAAAAATTAATAAAACTTTTACAACAAAACAATCGGACCATCTGTTAACAAAAGAAAAAGAAAAACTCTAAACAGGGGCTATTCAGAAGAAGCAGAACTATGACTGGGCGTTGTCTGTGTTGAGCAGTCACCCTGCTTCTGAGACTTGAGCTTCTTGTAGTATTTCTGGAGGAGAGAAGGAGGAGAAAAGTTAACTACATAAATAGATGTGTTCAGTCTTGAAAAAGAACAGTACTTTAATTTAACTAAGTACCACCAGTATTTTAAACCAGTAAGAAATTAAAGTGCAGTTAACATTCAGAATGAACTAGTACCTCCATGTTCTGGTAATGCTTTAGGGTACTACAGTGACTTTTCTTAGCAGTTTCCTCACTGCCATAGAATAGAGAGCAGAGTCTGCAGAAGAAACCCGTCTTGGGTACCACAAAGTCAACCCCTATGAAACATGACAAAAAAAAAATTGAATTAACTTTGCTTGGCGGTAATGTTGTGATAATGCATTTGATTCAGTCATTGTTCACAGCATTATCAAACAAAGACTTTTTATATAAAACCAATAGGTTGTTGCTGATGGTAGCATCATTTCTAGTGGATCTCTAACCAGTGGGATTGTCTGGGTTAAATGGCGGCAAGGTGAAGTCTTCAATCACAGGGGAATGAGAGCGGGCCTTCTTAGCCTCTGGTTCCTGTGTCGGCTCCATCTCCCGCCGTTGCTTGGACTCTTCTGCAAATGAAAATGGAAGAAAGGAATAGGTAAGAACAATGGTAAAAAGAAACGCTAAATAACTGTCAATGAGATGAAATACCTTTGACTGAGGATTTTTTGTCAGAGACTGGTGTGTCAACAGCATCACTTTCTGACTTTGCAGAGTTGTCATCATCTTTAGCTCTCATCCTGTCCTCTTCTGACCCTGAAGAGACCGCTGCAGTCGATGATTCTGGAACTTTCACGGTTTCAGCCTTTTGCGGTTCTGGCTTCACATCGAGATCCATGGATTCGACAGCTGCAGGAGGATTCTCGCTTATGGAAGCAGCTGCCTCTGGTTCACACTCCGCATTTGTCTCGGGTTCCTCTGCTTCTTCAGCAATTTTTGTCGCTCCTCTTTTACCTCTTGTGGATCTCCTCACTACAGAGAGCAAAAGGAGACAAACTGCTTGCCACTTTGCACTTAGAAATACATCTAATCTGAGGGTTTAATGAGAAAGAAACTGCTTTCTCTCTTTTACTCACCTGGGGCCTGGCGAGTTCTCTTTTTGGTCCTTGTAGCTCTCTTTTTAACTTGCCTCTCCTCTTTGACATCTTCGCTGGGTGGTTGTTCCTCTTCCTCCTCCCCTACTTCATCCACAGTTACAAAGTTCATCTTGCGGAGCTCTTCAAGGTCACAGGCATCCTCTTCTTGGCTTGGTGATTTCACAGGCTCTTCTGGTATGATTGGTGTCGTGGTGCTTGGGGTGGTTGGCTTGTCTTCACTATGCTCCACTTCCTCATTCTCCTCATCATCACCCTTGGCCTCATCCAGGGTTACAAGAGTCTGGAAAGACAAAGAAGAGGTCATGCCAACTTACAAGAACTAAACCAAACCAAGATAGCCTTAATGATTGTTTTCACAAAAAAAACTGACCTCAGGATTGAATAATTCAAACTCCTCCTCTTCATCAACAATCTCATCCAATGTAACTAGGCCTTGAAGTTCTTTGTCCAACTGGTATTCTTCACCCCCCGTTTCATCATCTCCAACCTCATCAACCGTTACAAGTGTCTCAGGCACTTCATCAGCCTTCGAATGCTGTTCCTCATTTGTTTCATCGACAAAATCTTCCTCACCCTCACTGACCTCATCAAGAGTGACCATTGCATCATGGGATGGAATTTCAGAGATCAGAGTTTCTTCATCATTATTGTCCATCACTGGGGCAGAGGATTCAGGCTCCTCAGGATGCACATCTTCTGATTTCTCTAAGGTTTCTGCAGAAGTTGCAGGAGGAGAGGAAGAAACGGACTTGCTTGGCTCCAATTCATCCAAGGTCCCAATGTCAGGGTCTTCTTTCATGGTTAGAAGGGTCTCAACATTGTTGTCCATCTCTGCTGAAGCATTTTCTGCTACAGTACAAGGCTCTGTTGTCTCGTTCTCAACGGCAGTTTCCATTCCCAGTGGTTTTTCAGCACTCTCTTCCTGAGACTCTTGCTCTTCTGGCTTTGGAGATGCAACAACTTCTGCAGCTGGTGTGGTTTCTTCAATATTGGCTTCTATTTTATCTGCACATTCAATAACTTCAGGTTTTCCTATCTCAGAAGCAACAATCTGGTCAGTTTGTTTTAAATGATCAGCTGGATCTGACTCTGCAATAGGAAAGACTATGGAGTGGGAATCGGGTTTATCCGCAATCTTCTCATCCTTGACTGAAGACTCAGTATTTGAGACCACAGTCTCCTCTGCATCATCCCCTACTTCATCAACGGTCACAAACTCATCAATGTTAAATGGAAACGGTTCCTCATCTTTTTCCTGGAAAGCACAAATTCTTAATCAGCAATGCCTATCTTCAATTATTAGACTGCAGACATGTTAAATTTTGACACTTACCTTTTCAGCTGTCCTTGTTTTTGAGTGACTCCTCGAAGGCTGTGAGTTTTTGCTATGACTCTATAAACAAGCAAAAAAATCAAGAGGAAAGATTAACATTTCAGAGTGATTAATAAAAGCAGAAACATCAAGGTACCATTTCAAACATCTTAAAACAATAGCTATATATATAGTTGGTACACCTCACCCTGTGATCAACATCATGCCCCCTTAAACGCTTTGATGGAGGAGTGGACTCCCGCCTGCTCCTCCGGGAGGAGGAGGACCCAGAAGATCCCCCACGCCTGGTGCTAGGGCCATCTTCTTCAGAATTACCCCTGCTCCTGTGCCTAGATGTTGGCTCTTTCTCTGGGGACGAGGTGTCTGCAGGCTTACTCTTTGACCCAGAGTTCTGAGACTTTTTCTCTTTCTCGTTCTGAATCTTTTTGCTCTCAGCTTGAGTGGTCTTCTTGGTTGCTTGAGCAGGCTTCTTTGAGCTTGACGGACCTTTTGTGGTTTTCTTCTCTGCAGCTTTTTTCTCCATTTCTGCCTTCTGTCTGGCTGCTTCTTCAGCACGTTTTAGTGAAGACTGTAAGCGACACTGATGGACAGCTAATTCAAGGGCCTTCAAAATCTCCTGCGTAACCGGAGGAAAGTCCAGAGAATTGTCGTCAATCTGGAAGGGCTCAAGCACCGTTTGAGGACTGTTTGAGGCACATGTAACTGCGACAGATGAATTACTGACTGTTTGATCAGAAGTGGAGGGTAGGTCAGAGGCAGGATCAAAGGTTGGAATGGAGTCAGATTCAACAGCTGCAGGGACATGCTCTTCAGCAGTTTCGTTTTCATTACTAGACTGAGGATTTATGTCCATCTCTAAAGGTTCAGTTGGTTTCAAGTCATTCGTTTGGCCCTCGTTTTCAATCTTGAGCTTGTGTGTTTCCAAAACATCTTCTTTGACATCAGTGCCTTTGGTAGGTTCTTCTGGACTCTGGGTCTCCATGGCCTCTACTGCAGTTTCCTCACTGCTAACAGTTGAAGCAACAATCTCCATTTCTGACTTGGACTCAACATTGTCTTCTTCTAACTTTGAATCGTCAATTTTGCTTTCTTCCACAGATGTAGGAACCAGTTCTTTGGGAACATCTTCAGCCTGCAGGACATTCTGGTCGTTTTTCTTAAGCAATGTCCCTGTTTGATCAGTTGAGTCTATTAAAATGGAAGTTTCTGAGGAAGCCAATTCATGCTCTGCTTCTGCAGACTCCACTGAAACTGCAGGTTCTGAAGCGGAAACAGCCGATGCAACCTCAAGCTCTGTTTTTCCAGATTCTGAAGCAAGAACTGGGAATCCAACTTCATGCTCTGTGCTTGGAGATTCAACTGAAACAGCAGATTCCGCAGGGACTGATGATTCAACTTTAAGCTCTGCTTTCCCAGACTCAGCCGAAACGGCAGATTCTGAAGAGGGAACAGAGTTTTCAACTTCAAGCTCCTTGTTCTCAATCTTAGATTCAGCCGTGGGAACGGAGGATGCAGCTTCATGCTCTTTTATCACAGATTCAGTTTCAGGGGTCTCCATGACAGTTTCATCCTTCTCTGCTTTATTCTCAGAAGTAGTTGTTTCTGCATTAGCAGATGCATCAACTGTAATGTCTTTGGGAACTGCAGTAACTTTAGTTGCAGATGTATCAGCATTCATCTTTTCATCACCATCACTTTCTTTCAAATTTACTTCACTATCGTTTATAACAATAATTTCATCATCTTTAGCCGCAATAATAGCATTAGTTTTTGGAGCTTTGTCTTTTGTGACAGGTGGACCCGCAGTAGATGCAGCTGCTGCAGCGACTACCTTTTGGGCTTTGATGGTATTAGTTTTTTTTATTGTCGCTGCTGTTGTACCAGGAGGGTTTGCTCTAAGAGGAGAGTTAAACATGAGAGAGAAAATCATTTTGACATTTCCAAAACTGTTTTTATAAAATAAAAGCAAAATATTTAATTTCTCCCCTCTTACCCTTTAGCTTCTGTCTTCTTTTTAAACTGTTAAATAAATAACAACATGGTTAGTTGCATTTTTAATTAATTGCCTCTGTAAAAGCATTGAGGTGATGTCACACATGTAAATGGCAGACAACGCCAGCTGAACTACCTTGACTGGTTTGGCTAGTTGGAAGCTAAGGGTACTGTTCTGGACCACACAACGAAACTTGAGGAAGCGAGCGAAGACAGTCCTAGCGGTAGTAGCATTCTCCATTTCAAAAATAATCTGAGATAAAAACAAAATAACACAATATTGCAACAGTCAGCTAAGATCTCACATTTCCCTTTAATAATAGAAAGATTAAAAAAAATAAAAAAACCTGGAAGATAAAGACAAAACATTATTTTATAGTCACTACATTATTGTTTTTCCTGTTTCTCTGCAAAGATATTATGTGAGAAAAAAATAAAAATAAGATTGTTTAAAGCTGCAGTCCGTAAGTTTTGCCTCTTTGTCGCCATCTCTGTTTGAAAACCTGGAATTGCAGCAGTGTGCGGAATTATCTTCCTTGCGTGGGTTGTGAGTCGGCACGGCTCCAGCGCGGATGAATCTAATGTTCTGAAGAGTATGTGTGGCAGTCAGTCACCGCACCGGTGTGGATACTGTACTTCGCAATATTGATTTCGGATCATTTCTAACCAAAAAAAAGTTACAGACTGCAGCTTTAATTAATATAGAAGTTGAATTTGAGGTGCTTACCCTGCCATTAAGAGGCAAAACTTTCTTGAAGGCACCATAGCGTTGAATTATGGTCTCTACTTCCTTGATTGCCCCAAGTGTTTTTGGCACATTGCTAACAATGAGAAGGCGTTCTGGCAATGTGACGATTTCCTGTGGTCAGGAGGAAAAAAAAAAAAAAAAGAGTCTGAGACATTATACAGGTTATTTAATTTTAATTAATCTGTTTGGCATTTACTTACAGGCGATTTCTCCATGCCCATTATCACTCTGAATACTGACTCCTTTGGGGCAGATAAAGATAAAACATTCAGTCAACACTAACCAGAATTAATCAAGCGAGTATAAATGTACTTGAGACATAATGCTCTCTCTCTGATTGACAACACAGAGAGTTCATTATTATTGCATTTTTAAGTGAGAACAGAAAGTTTAATAAATTTGGATTAAAAATCAAAACATACATCATAAAATGTTTCATGGACATTTATATTTTTTGTCCTATGCATAACTTAGAGATGGAGTGCACACTCACAGTGTAATTCAGGTCAATAGGTTTCATCATCATCTTAACGGTTATCTCATTGTCTTGCACTTTAGCTGGGGTCTCAGAGTAGGCCTTCACCATTGCATCAACTGCCTCTGTGTTGGGCATCTGCAGATAGGCCTAAAAAAGTATAAAAAATACTGTTAATAAAATATATAATACACTATAATATAAAAATGATGTACATATTAAAATAATAAAATGTAAAACTATATAATTTCCTAACATTATTACCTTTTGTTGAGTGATTGCTATGACAGGAGTTGCAATGAAGCCATATGGTTTAGCAAGGTTGGTGAGGTCATCCTCAGTTACCCCTTCCTCTGGAAGATTTGTAATCTCAACTATATTTTTTCTCCAGGGTATTTCCTGTAGTCAAAGAAAAAGAATAGAAGTAGATGATTTAACAAAGTGAATGGTTTTTATATGTGAAGACAGAGAACACAAAATAACATACCTTCTTTACCAACTTCTTTGCAACTGCTGTCTCTGCCAAATTACACAAATAAATGTTATACAGATTGTCCTGCATGACCACAAGAATTACAGATGAAGACGCAGTCACTTACCTGAACCCTTAGCAGAGGGTTTAGCTTTAGCTGTCTGAACAGTCTTTTTGGGGTCGCTCAGTTTTCCCCTGGTTACTTGAGCCGTCTTGTTGGGGTTGCTCGGTTTTCCCTTGGTTACTTGAGCCGTCTTGTTGGGATCGCTCGGTTTTCCTTTGGTTATTTGAGCAGTCTTGTTGGGATCGCTCGGTTTTCCCTTGGTTACTTGAGCCGTCTTGTTGGGATCGCTCGGTTTTCCCTTGGTTACTTGAGCCGTCTTGTTGGGGTCGCTCGGTTTTCCCTTGGTCACTTGAGACATCTTGGAACCTGTCACCTCTTTTGCTTTTGCTGTCTGAGGAGCCTTAACTGGGTTTGCACCCTTTACTTTTGCTGATTGGGTTGGTTTTGTTGTTGTAGTCACCTCTTTTCTGTAACAGGACACAAATGCATTTACAGAACCTTTTGCAATAACACTTTTATGTATAATTCGAAAACATGAAAAATAAAAGTCAACAGTTATATCTACGTGCACTGCAAAACCACTGCATGCATGAGAACTTACTTCTTAACAGGTTTTTCGGTCTTAACAGATTTTCTCCCATCATCATCTCTTGCATCCTACAAAAATGCACAAATTGGATTTAATGTCAGGGCTTGGTATGGTTAATCTGTAAGGGGAATTGACAAAGAGTCAAACATACCTTCTCCATGCAGACTTTAACAACCTGCCCACGAATTGTCAGGTTCTTACAGTTGAGCAAAGCTTTGGCATCCTCCTCTCTTTCCATACACACTGAGGCCTGAAGAGAGTGCAAACCACAAAAGTTTGCAACAGCTACAACAACTACATTTCAAATTCACATATTTGCATTACACTACCATTCAAAATTTTCTTTAAGAAAGAAGTTAATACTTTTTTTTTGCAAGGACACATTAAATTGATTAAAAGCCAGTGGTTTTACAGCTGTTTTCAACTGTGGTTATAATAATAAATGTTTCTCGAGCACCAAATCAACATATTACAGTGATTTCTAAAGAATCATGTGACACTGAAAACTGGAGTAATGGCTACTGGAAATTAAGCTTTGCAGTCACAGGAATAAATTGCATTTTAAAATATATTAAATTAGAAAATGGTTATGTTAAATTGCAATAATATATATATATATTTTTTTTACAATACTACTGTTTTTATTGTATTTTTGAGGAATTAAATGCAGCCTTGGTGATCATAAGAGATTTCAAAAACATAAAAAAAAAAATCTTGCCAACATCAAACTTTTGAATGGTACTGTGCATTTTTATAAACCCAGGATATTCAAATTATGTTTCAATGTTCTGAGCTAAATACAAACGAAGTATTCACAAAAAAGTCACAAAAAAGTATTCAAATGAACTTTGTTGATATGAACTGGGCATTTGTGTAGGCATATATAAAAATTACTAAGTCTGACATAAAAATGTGAAATACAAAGCAGTGAAGGCCACATTTTTCAGAGAGGTAGATAAGCAAATAATTAATTTAATAAATAAATAATAAATAATTTATGCATTTAGCAGACGCTTAAAGCGACTTACAGTGCACATTCAGGCTATACATTTTTACCAGTATGTGTGTTCCCTGGGAATTGAACCCAAGAACGTTTGCGCTGCTAACGCAATGCTCTACCACTGAGCCACTAGGAACACTAATTAACTACCTGCACTGTGCTGTACATTCAAAGATTAATGCAAAATAAAACCACAAATGATAAACACATTATTTCTACCTCATTAATTGCCTTGAGGAGGATGGCAGTATAAATCTTGCCAAAAGGCTCAATGGCATTAGTCAGTTCTTTACTTGTAGTCCAATGAGGAATTCCAATGAGCCTCAACAAACAGGATGTGCCAGGGGCATCCTTGGGTCTTGGCTTCACATCATACAGAAACAAAGATAGCAATTAGATTTCATGCACAATTATTAGTACAGATACACCTACATTCATCTCTACTTTTTTCTAATGTTTTCTAATGACCCTGATAGAAATATGACAATACAATCGGCTTTAAATCTAAAGTAATGGAAGAACAAACAGTCAGTAACTGCAATGTGAGGACATACCTTTGGAGTGGTGGAGGACTTTGAGATGGAGGTTCTGCTTGACTTGGAGTACTCATCTCTCTTAGGAGAGGGCGGCCGTTTCCAACTACTGCTGCTACTGCTTCCCTTTGATGAGGAAGTAGTGGAACTACTTTTCTTCTTTGCTAGCTCAGCCAGCAGGGCTGGTGCCAAGGATTTCACAACAGCCTTCAAAGTACTACTGTCTGTGATTGAAGAAAACTCAGCTGTGGGCAAGAAATGAACTTAATGCATTAGTACACCAAGTGATTTGAAAGCAAAATATTTTACATAGCAAGAGCATTGCAATAAAAGTTCTTACTTGAAGACATGAGTTTCATGGCCAATCGTTCACTACTGCTAGATCTCTGTTGCCAGGATGGGCTCGAACGGCGGGGGCTTGAACGGCGTACAGGGGAGCGCCTACTGTAAACTGGAGACCTTGACCGTTGAGATGGTGGACTACGGGACCTCCGTCTGTAAGGACTGCCTCGAGACTTCCTATGGGGGGACCGGCTGCGACTTCTGGAACGCCGGTACCTTCTAGGGCTTCGGGAGCGAGAACGGGATCGGGAGCGTGAACGGGATCGCTTACGGCGGCTTGAGGAGTCATGGTGCCGCTTCGGACTGGGGGATCTGGAGTACGAGTGCGATCGAGTGTGCCGCTTTGAGCTGCCGTGTTCTGTTTTGGGCTCAGGTCTGTGGATGATTGACCATTTTCACGTGAATTTAAAAGCCTTTTTAATATCTAGACAATTATTATGAATTATAAGATGAATTTTATTTCTAGACCTAAGTGTCCAAGATGTGATAGGGATTTACCTTGAAACAGAGACAGCCTCAACATTCCAGTCAGGATATCTATAACAACAAAACAAAGACATGATTTTCCGTTAGCAGTTAAGCAAGAAATTCTCCAATGGAATTCTTGAGCAATAAAAGCCAATCATAAAAACACTCACTGTTTCCTAAGACATCTACAACTCTCAATGTGAAGATTTGTATTCTGATGTTCAAGCCAGTCCTGTGATCAAACAAAAACGCTTTAATTATCAATGTCTTTGCTTTAATTGCCAATAGTGCTTTAAACAGTGCAACTGATTATAAAAAAGATTCACAAAATTTTGAATATAGAGCTAAAAACTTTCAAAAACAAAAAAGAAATACCAGAAGTCCAAATTTGAGACACGATAAAGCTTGTTAAATCCACTATAGTCTCATTAGAACAAAAAGTCCATGATTTTCATGACAAAACTTTTTCCCAACATGAAAAAGTCCAAGGCGTTGCTTCAGGTATTACGAAGATGGAGATTGACATCTGCCTTTTGTCTTCTGCATAGTGGAAAGTCATCAGGTCTGCCTTCACAACAGGTACAGTATTTTTTTCAGCCAGTCCAAAGTTTTAAACTAGGTTTCAACAAATGGTTTTTCATCAGGCTTCCCCCAGGTTTCCAGAAAACTGACTGATAAAACTCCTTCTGAAACTGGAATTGGCTTGAAATAGTCAAGATACATTTCTTTTTCCAGCCAGTTATTATCTACTCTATTCACATCAGCATACAGGCTAATATTTTTAACCCACAACATGGCAACTGAACAATTAATAAGCAATTGGAGTTAACAAACATTAAAATTTCATTACAGATTTCTGACATTTTATTTTAATTTAATACAGTTTTAGCTCAAAGTTCACCAACACATTTTAAATGAATGAAACAGGAAGTGAGACCCTTTTTACATACAAAAAAAAAATTATGCTTTCAAAAGAGGCACTACTGGGTAAGAAGATACTCACCTTAATCTGGATACATTCAATGTTACATAGAGAGCATGTATGAGGAAAGATTCTTGGTGTAGCTGCGGAGTAATCGTTCATCATGGTCGGAGTTGGAAGCCTCTTCATGGCAGGCACGCTGATTGGAGGTGAAAGGAACGGGATCCAGTTGGCATTCAGACCTCTGGAGATATCGTCAACGGTCATCATAGGAAGAACACCAAGTTGAGGCGGTATCTGTAGAGGAGGTCGACTGGAAGGCTGCAGAATAGGCTGGGAAGCAGATGGTCTCGCTGGAATCGTCTTAGAGGGTCTCGGATCTACTGGTGGAGCTTTCTGAAGCTTTGGAACTTGTACAGGGCCTGGAGCTGGCTGACACGGCTGAGGATGCTTTGTGATGTCCATGCCACTGAAGGGTGGTCCAGAGACCTCCCTCACAAACTTTGGTGACTCTTTAGGCAGGTGTTCACTTGCATAGCCATCCGGGCTCTCCTCAGGATAGTCAAATTTACTAGAATGTCCATAGTCAATAACTTTGTTGTATTCAGATCTCGCATCAACGTCCCTCTTTGCTTTACGCATTCGGATGTCTCGTAAAATAAACGGTAGGTTGTCGGGGGTCAGCTGATCATCTGGATAGTGGCTTAGAAGTTCTAGGTCCTCATTGGAGAGTCCAAAACTTGCTAGGATGCTGCTGGCACTTTCAGAGGTGTAGCGTGAAGGCCGCTGTTCTGGCGGAGGCTGGCTGTCCAAACCACTTGATCCTCCAACAAAACTTGCAGATGGGAACAGCTGTGAAGAACTGGAAGGACGGTCCAAACTTGAAGATGCAAAGAGCTTGCCTTGGGCTTGGTATATGGACCAGTTCACCTCATCAGATCGCGAAGTCCCTGAAAAGCCGCTGCCGGAGGAAAGCACTTCATCCCTTGTATTCTCTCTCATGCGCGGATCTGCTTTTTTGGGTTGCTGGAGCATTTGAGTGAGAAGGCGAACTTCCTCGCGGGCTCCCCGAAGGTTCCGGTCTATGGCGGTTTCGAGATCTGGGGAAATCTGAGACTGGCGCTGTCCCAGTGAGAAGGGCTGGTTGACCATCAATCCCCCGCGAGAACCAGATATGGAACCCGGGCCAAGACGGGCTGCTCCCAGCTCCATTCGAGGCTGTGACCCAAGACCATACTGGCCAGGCACGACGGGTCTCTGACCACTGGGGAACGGCCCTCCACGGGGATTATATAAAGGATGCGACATGGTGACCTTGAGCAAGTTGAGCAAGGTCAAAGCAGGGGAAGCAATTGCAGGCGGAGTGACACTTGTGCCAGCAATTGCATTCAGCTGGTGCAGTGCCAACTGAGTCTTTATCTGTGCCAGCTGGAGGGAGACGGGGCCTAAAAGCGGCAGACTCCCAAAATGCCTCAATGCAACAGGGGGCACACAATTTTCCAAGAACAATGAAAAGCTGGAAAAATTAGGGGGGAAAAAAACACACAGATAGGGTTATTGGCTTGTTGTCTTCATGTCCTCACACAGAAATGGCAAAACGGATGCGACCATTTTCCCCTTCTGTCACACAATTTCAAATCTCCAGCTTCAAGGGATTTAAACAGGTTTCCATGTCTTCACTGAAGAAGAAAAAACAGCAAGCAAAAAGGACAAGACAGACAAAGCAAAATAACATTACAGTTTAGGAGTATCTTCACACAACTTTCATGCATGAGTTTTAGTAGGGTTCTTTTTTTTCACCTGAATGTGAACAGGGAGGGACGAACATGCCTCAACACAGGACAACATGATAGGTCAGACTGATAATTTATAGATACTAGGCAACTGTACTTTATTAATAACCTGTCAGCAGTACTTTGACCTTTTACATTAATGCTGGTGTGATGTAATTAGAGTCTGGACTGTCAATATTGTCCATCACTTTCAACAAAGATCACTAAGGTGACTCCTCTTCGTGAACAGTTCAATTAAAAAATAAAGGGAAGAATCTACTTCTGTTTAAAAAAAAAAAGAAAACTACAGAGCCTTTGCACTGAACATTTCTGAAATACATCAATTTCTAACTATGCAAACAGGCAGTGTTGCCAAGTCTGTGGTTTTCCTGCAGAATTGGGCTACTTTTATATTCTTGAAATGGGTTGTTGTCTGCTCCGCTCCCCTTTTCTATCAAGGTGGAACCCCTGGAAGTAGTGATGGCTGCTTTCAAAGCACTGCTTCGTGAAGCTTTGAAACTTTTGCGAATCATTTGTTTCGAAACAGTGGTTCGGAGCGCGTATTAAACTGCCAAAGTCACGTGATTTCAGTAAACGAGGCTTCATTATGTCATAACTGTTTCGAAATTTCAATGGCTTTCCATTGGTGGGCGATCTCTGTGAACCAGTGAATCATGAGAGTTCACTGAGATCGCCTCCCAGCGGCGAAACATTGAACCAGCATCTATGGTTTTTACCTGATCTCGGATCAGTTTCATCTATTTGTAGACATTTTTAACAAGACATTTGTGTAAATAAAAGGATGAGAAGTAGTTCATATATTTCTCTGGCCTATATATACAAGCTCTCCATAAAACAAAACAAGCCCTGCAAATTAATATAAAATATTTTAAAAGCCACATATTATACAGACACTTCATATTTAATGGTATTTTATCAGTTTTATGGCAATTAATGTATTATACTTTAAATAAAACATTTGCAATGGGGTTTTAAAATCTTTTTATGCATGTTTTAGCCTGCGTTTTTGTTGCCTTTACACACTTTACAGGCGTCACCAGGGTGTGGTGTTTCGAGCGCTTTCGAAACAGTGAATCATTTTGTGAAACAATTGGTTCAATTGATTCGAAGCTTTGAAAGGGTTAGTTTCTCCCATCACTACCTGGAAGGAGGTTTTGACCCCCTGGAACACGATGTCAATAGTTTCCGCTGGAACATGATTGGGCTAGTTTTGAGTACCAATTGGGCTCAGGTTCTGTTACACAGACTTGGCAAACCTGCAACCAGGGCTGCTTTTTTCAATTGTCTCTACAATCTACTTATAGATAGCAGCATATCATGCTTTTGGGACATGCAGTCCAGATCAAATAAATCAAAGATGTGAGTGGCGAAGCCCTACAATTCATCTCTCCTTATATCAAGTTTTTCTAACAGTAAAAGTGCAGAAAAATCAAAAGGAAACAGCAATAACCACCAATTCTACTTCTATAATGTTACATATTTCCAAGTTAAAAATACATAAATAAAAACTGTAGGGCAGGACATAATTTTATCCAACTTGAGAAGCATTTTTTAAATGTGAACTAGCACCTCATGACTACACCACGTTATGTACGAGAAGCTGTAAAAGACACAGGCACAAGTGGAATGTACTAAACATGGTGACATTAATTGTTAAGTAAATATAATGAGCGATATATTGCGTCACCAAAAATGATTGAGGTCATGTACATATATTGCGCGATAAGTCGATATATTGATTATTGCGACAGGCCTACTTGGGAACAATTCCTTTTCAGATCTGTCTTTATTTGCCATCACTGCCATAACCTTAATTAATTGGCATTGTAATCTGAAATTTCTGATTTTTTTTTCTAAATGCAAGTTATTGATCCTATTGCGAATGATTCATCCATGTATGCATTTGAGAACAATCTACTACATTTAGTTGAAATATTTTTGCTCATCAAAACCAATATTGTGCATTAAAGGTGCAATAGGTGATTGTCTTCAGAAATGTTTTTTGTTATGCTGGTTGAAAGTCTCTTCACATCCCGATAGCAATCATTAAGTTAAGTGCGTGGTCTAAATGTATTTGTCTGTATTTATATATTCTGTGGAAGGCGTAGGATCAAGAAATGTTCGTCCAATCAAAACGCTCAATCCGAGCGTTTTAATATGCTTTCCTACCTGCCTGTCAACGTATGTATTAGCATACCTCTGCGAACCCTGTTCGCGCATACAGGATACTCATCAGCGCGTTCACGCACGCTGTGCAGACAGAGCGAGGATGGCAGGCAAACATCAACAACCCGATCTTCTTTCCTGGTACTGTAGTACTTTTAAAGATTTCTCAAAGGTGAATGGCACATAATGTAGCCCAGCGGTTAATCCAGTCCTCGCGCTAGCTCGTTAGAAGTGAGCAACCTGCATGAACTGTGTTCCGATCGATATGATCCCTACAGTGTTCATTGCTCCCTACTCCCTGAGCTGGGGAAATCCGTGGAAGTTTACTTCACTTCGGAACATGGGGTGGAATTGGGAACCGCTGATGTAGTCTATTGTAGTAATGTTGTCTCTGGTATTCTGGTCTGTGAGCGTAAATTCGTTCATGGGGCGTGGCTTTGGACGGCGATTGCAGGGAGTGCTATCAGGCTAAAGTCAGCATTTTCCAAGATCTCCTACTGCACCTTTAAGTAAATGAGTTCAATTTCGATTCCTTTGATATAACTGATTAATTCAAAACATGCATGTACAAAATTAAAACGCAGCAGTCTACATATCAGAAATTAATAGAACGTATGCAAAATTGCATCATTAACCATCTATCTGAAACCCTCAACCACTGGGTTTTAGATTGCACTTTCTTTCTTTCTTACTGCAAAACTGGCTCAGACAGACCGCCATCCAGCGACTGAACACAAAATGTCCACTGAACATTAACAGACCGCCTCACTCAGCAGCCATTTCTGATAACAGGCCTAAACCTGTATTAAATGTCAACCACTGGACATTAAACGGAGATACTCTTCCGGTCATTATGAAGAACGATACAGAAACACAAGATGATATTATAACCCAAACATCTGCTTCAGTTCCCGTCTTGACAAAATTAGAACACATGTAACGTTACTGCAAATGGAGGGCATATAACATGCAATTTGCAACTGCTAAAACAGATATTTATCATGAGACTGAACAGCGGACCAATCGATGGTGAGGCGTTATACCCAAACAATTATCTATAACGCTTCCATCGCTATTTCGAGCGTCGATCATTTTAATGGAAGCGGTACAGTCTGGATGGGGTGATGTTTTTGTGGCCAGTGTGCCGCATACAAAGTAAAAAGCAATGTTTAATTGCATGAAACACGCAGTAAGAGTGATCTGATGAGCAGATCGGTCATGAAATCAACCCAATTCATGCAGGCCTCTGGCCCTCAGTGTAGACCCTCTGGCCTTCGCCCTCAGTGTATCATTTACCCCGATCAGTCGACGTCGCCATTTTATACAGGAAAAATCTTTTTATTCCACAAATAAATCACCACATTTACACTAGAAGGGTCCCCAACACAGGTGAGATGCACTACAATAACATACCTCGTACTTTAATATGCAAAATCTTACTGTGGAAATCCGACGAGGAAAACGCTCCGCTTTCAGGGGACGTTCGGCTTGCGTCTCAGACGCGATCAAATGATCGAAGAGTCGAGCTACGGGTCAGGAAAACCAATCAAGCCCGACCTCTTGCGACACGGAACAATAGACTGTAAAAAAGCACGGAACACTTCCAATCTTTAACTTGTTGTTCAGCTATTAACGTATTATTCAGTAGTCTAATTATTCCGCGAGACCGGTGCACTTTTTGCCCAGTAGTTAATAAAAGACAGGTTTTTCGCCGTTTCTTGTGTACAGCAGAGAGGGGGTCGTTTTCCTTTAAGGATATCCAGGAGATGGCAGTGTTGTCATTTTTTTTTTAGACTAGTCTGACTCTCTTTCAGCCAGGCACAGACTAGTGGTTAAAACATCAAGTCTAAATGTGGGCCTACAAACATTTCACTTCCCACATACTTCAGTGAAGGTATATATCTATGTATTTTAGCGCATTTTAAATGTTGTCTAATGTTGCACTGTTGAGTGTAACAAAGCAGCTGTAAGCACTTTAATAATTGTACTTGATTGCTATATTTAGGCTTAGTTTTGAGGAATTTGTACTTTGCTAGAGAACTATTTCATTTCCATTGTAAAATCATACTTATAAACACTCCTTATAAACACTTTTGTGAACGTGAATGAAACCAAGTAGCTTAGGCTATCTGATTGAATGAAACAAACCCACTGTCTCTTAAGTCCAAAAATATGTTTGTTTCAAAAATGCTTTACTTTTAAATACTAAATACGTTGACTAATGTCTGAGTAATATTTTTTACATGCACAAATTATTTAAACACAAGTTCCCTTTAAGAAAAGCCAGTCATAATCAGATATGCAGAAGTTCAGAATTGCTGTATGTTGATGTTCTTGACATCTAATCCTCCGCACAAGGTCAGAGATGTTGGCAAACTAATGTCTCTCTCAAATTTCTGCAGCTAAACCTCCTTCTTTTACACATCGACTGTCTCATCACAGTTTTTAAAAGAAAAAGTAATTAGATTTCTATTTTTATTCTTAAGTGTATTTTTTTATTTATTGTTAATTAGACTATTTGAGGACATTTATGATATCACTGATGCATTACCATAAT